AACCGAAATTCTAATAAGCAGAAGTCAATTAAGAGCATGGGAGTGAGAGAAACTCCAACTAGAAAGCTGTTCAATTAGGTCAAATGTTAATCAGCTCTCCAAAATAACTCCTAGTTTTGAGTCTTCTCATCTTGCTTGGTGTGGATTCCACAAAAGACTAATTACATCACATGGACTGCACTGGAACAGTCACAAATGGTTTCTGATTTGCTGATGTTTTTAAAACAAACTTCTTGAGTAATTTTTTTAATCATTTATCTCTAATCTAGGATGTTTTCGGTTCATTTAAATGACATTAGCTATTTTTCGATTAGGTGTAATTATTTTTTTTCACTGCTTGGTATTTACACTTTTGCTATTTAATTAAATGCAATTGTTCTTTGCAAAAAATAATTGCTACTTCTTCATTGGCATAGCCTAGTTCGATAATTTACCAACGTAAGTTTCTAAATGGTCAACATGTACCAATGAGACCATCAAGCTCAAGTAAGGCGCCAATATAGTTCACTTCAAATTGCTTAACTCAAAAAAAAATATATATTGAAGAATTTCTAAAGACACGTAAATAATGACCTCAGGAATGGCATTAAAATTTATATTAAAATTTTGATAAAAAATGTTACTAATATTTCAATGCTAACTTATGTAATATTAAAAGGAAAGAACATTAAAAATTAATATTTGAAAGAATAGTTTTGTTCTCTCTACGATCATTTAGTGTACGCTTTAAGCTAATTAGAACAAGACCTACAGTTTAACGTGGGTTTCGTACCACTAATAAGTATCCATGCCACCGCCTAAAGTGGAACCTGAAGCCTGGGGTGCCAAAGGCAAGAGCGCTAACCAATTGGCCACCAGGCCGCCTAATTTTTGAAAGCTACCAACAAAAAAACTATCTGGTATGGAAATTTCTGCTCTTTTTTCTGACCCAAATAAATTAAAATAACCAAAAGAAAAAAAATACCCGAAATCTATTAATTTAATCAATAACCTACTCTCCGCTCTTTTCAATGATATATTCCCATCAGAGCTTCGATGGGGATTTTTTTTTAAATAAAATTCTCTGATTTTACATGAAATAGAAACTAGCTTCATTTACGCTTCGTCCCTTGCAATCAAATATTAATACAATGACAATACAGTTTCTTATACAAATTTTCTTATGCTTTTACATTCATTTGATTTATTTTTTGCCCACTTTAAGACAAATAAAAATGCGTTGTTTCTTGTTAGTAATGCATAATGGGGATTTTCTAAGACACAGTTCACAACACTTTGCTCTAGTATAGTCTTCTTCACTCCTCTATGCAAAGCACATTTGTGCTTTGGCAATTATTGCAATTTCATTTTTCTTCCGCTTACATATGGAGCTTTCACCAATACCAAACATCCTTGTAGGAGCGCGATTTCCATTTTCTTTCGCAAAACAGATGGCTTTGCATTTGAAACCAGCACTGCGTTTGTATTGGTTGGGAGGAACTATATTTACTACTTAAAGAAACTCTACATCAACTGTATTTTATCTATAGCTAATGCAATTTACTAAAGTCTTCGAAGTTCACCTCAAAATAACAGGAGAAAGAGAATCCTTTTCTCAAAATTATAGAATAACATGCATCATCGAATACAAGCCACCCTGTTTGTAGAATCATTTACATTCACAAGCTACTTATCACTTGTGAATTCAGTACGATGGCCCGGAAAAAATATAAGCTGGGAAAAATCTTCCAATGAATGCCTTCAGAAAATAAGAACATCGCGCATGTATATTTCCAGTTTATTTGTAAAGAAAAAGGTTCGCATTCTATTGAGAATATAATCTAAAAATTAGAAAAAATTGGCTCGGTACACGTGATATGCCAGAATATGTGGTAAGTGTTTGATTTCTACAACCAAAATATGCATATATTACACAATTAAAAATATATTAAAAATGTTTTTTCTCATAGTTAAAAACAATGTAACATTTATTTGAAGATTGTCGTATCAACTAAAGCTTTATATAAGTGATTCGATGATTTATATTTAAACCACGCTTAATTTACAGCCTTTTGATCTTTGAAGCTTACAGATTTTAAACCTCTTTTAATTTACAGCTTTTTAATCATCTCTAAACATACAACTTTTAAACAATTAACATATTGACCGCTTTTTAATCATCTGTAAGCTTGCAGTGTTTAAACAAAAATTAATTTTCCGCTTTTTAATATTCTCTAAGTATACAACTTTTAAATAATTAGCATATTGACCGCTTTTTAATCATCTGTAAGCTTACAGTGTTTAAACAACGATTTATTTACAGCTTTATAATAATCTGTAATCTTACATCTTTTAAATAACGCTTAATTTAAAGATTTTTAAGCATCCTTAAGCTTACAGCTTTAAAACAACCAGCATATTTACAGCTTTCTAATTATCTCTAAACTTACAGTATTTAAACAACATTTAATTTACAGATTTTTAAGCATCTGTAAGCTTACAGCTTTAAAACAACCAGCATAACTTTTAAACAACTAATGTATTTACGGTTTTTTAGTTATACCTTTTTTTTTTCTGCTTTTCTACCAGAAAGAGCGGTAAAATAACAGCTCTATATAAATAACAGCCTTTCAATTTGGCAGCAAATAAACTCTCATTTGACGTGAATTCAAAAAGAATAAAACTCAAACGAAACGGAAATCTTTCAATGGGTACCTAAAAGCTCTAAATCTCCAAAGAGGATAAAACTGTAAAAGGTTAAAATAAATAAATCGTTGGCTTTTTGCACAAATCAAGCGAGCTGAAAGTGTTTTCAAAGAATACTTCACCAAAACTATTCAAAAGAATGATTCTTTTGTTTATATAGGACTTTAACAGCAATAAGTAAGTAATGGACAGTTTATTGTAGAAGGATTTGATTTCGCTCAAAATGGTGCGGACATGCAAGAGGTAAATAAATAAATAACGATTTTCCATTTATCGCAACTGGGCCATTCGATTTTCGTGTTTGCAAGTGACAAATACCACCTTTAAATTGATTTCAGCAAATGTAAAGTATATTTTATTTATATGTATGCTTACTTCAATTTCGTTAATGCGATGTCAAGAAATAAGCCAATAAATAGGTGACAGCTGTTGCTGCATTTTGAAGAATCAACTACAATGTTTTTATATCAAATGCCGCTGTTCATGAAAAAAATTTTTTTAGTGTTCCATTTTAAAGATCAGATATTCAGATTTCGGAAACAGTTTTGAGTATTCTTTTAGAGTCAACAGAAGTCGAAATACAGCTGTTTAATCTCATTAGGGTGATTTCATCTCCTTTTAAAATTCTATTCAAATCTATTTAAATTTTTGAAATAGGGAAGCACTTAAAATCCTACAAAGGATTATAGGTGCACTCTATACAAATTTCTGGGAAATATATTATAAAGATTAAGTAAAACACTTCAGAAAAATAATGCGATAAAAAATAAATAAAAAGTACTTTAAGTTTATTCAATGTTTTATGAAAGATATGAACCTGAAGTGTCGCAGCGATTTCATCAATGATTGATCATAATATCTAAAAGGCAGACTGACATTTCCTCGTCAATACATTGAAGATCTCTATCTTTTTTTACATTTCATTGTGATGAAGATAGAAAAGATTAGTAGTAAATTGTTCAAAGAATTTTTAGATATTGAGACATAATGATCTCTCATAAAGATTTAAGGAGACAAATCCATATGTTTAAGCATTAATCCACGATCAGTGGCTACGGCCGTGTATTCTTTTTCTGTTAATGTTAAACCAAAATCATTGAAGTTTCGATGGATGGGTTTGAAATCTCTTCGTATCTTTCAGTGTTAAGTGATTGAAAAAATAATTAAAATTTTCTTCTAAACTTGTTAAGTTTTCAACTATTATTGGAAGTGTCTCCTTTACGTAAGTGTTATTTATCAAATTATTTCAATGAGAAATACGTCAGATACATTTTAACATAATTGCTTCGAAAACAGTACTGTTTTTATTAAATCTATAGGTATTACACAAATATTAGCTTTTCAGGAAATGAACAAGGTATCAAAGACACCATAACATCAGCATCAGAGGTCAATATTAGTTGCGTAAAGCAAATCATCACTCTACTCTGCGGCATATGTTTATAATGCATAACTATCGCTCTCCTGATATTCGATGTAAATATGCAACTCGATTCAAACAGAATACTGAAGCAGATACCGGAGATGTCCACAGCGTAAAGACACCCGCTAGTGAAATCTCGGCGCTGAGGTAACGCGAAGAAACTGTCGGATCTCGTTTGGGTGGATGAAAGCTTAATATCCAATCCAATGCGGGTGTTACTTTGCGGAAATTTAATACCGTCGGAAGATTAATGTTTGGATTATTTAACGTATTTATGAGTGCATTAAAATTGAGTATTTGTCCATTTTGCAAAGAATGTTTAATGAGACACATAGTAGCATGTCCTTAATGGAATCGGATACAATTCATTTTATTGACTAGTGACTGGGTCTTCTGTTAAGTTGATTACCAATCTAAATGATTTTTATGAAGTAATTCAAGGAATGAGACTAATATTAATGTTCTTATGAATGACAGTCCTTCGATATAGAAGGTGCATAAGTCATATTTTTTATGAATTAAAAGCTGGAAATAAATAAATATTGAAGTGAAGTTTTTTTAACACTTTTAACAATGCACTTTTAGTAATTAATATTATATCTGATTTATAATGCTGATTACTTTTATTGCTCATATGGCAGATATGTAGCAGATTCATATACATATATGCATGCATACATATTTAAATATATACGAGTATATTATTTAGTTGTTTCTGTCGTATGCTTTGAACAAGTTAATATACGTTATTGCTCTTGCAATCTCAATAAAACCTTATAAATGATGTCAGGAAAAGCAACTCGAAAGATATTTTAACTTTCAGATTTTTTGTAAGCATATTCCTTCCCGAAAAATCAAGTAGCACTTAAGGACAACAATACCAAATTGAGCCAACGGCCGTACCATGCTGAATAGACCGGTTCTCGTTAGATCACCGAAGTCAAGCATCATTGGGCTCTGTCAGTACTTGGGTGGGTGACCACCTGGGAACACAGCGTGCCGTTAGCAAATTTGGGACCTGAATGGCCGAATGTCTAGCGCTCTGGCGCTTGGTGCCACAGGTTTCGGGTTCGAATCCCGGCGGTGCCATGGATGTTTGTAGTGGGTTCGGAATCCACTTTAAGCTGTAGGTCCCGGTCTTCTATGACTGTAAGAGCGTCACGGAGCAAAAGTCAGGCTTCTACCTACGGGTGCTCCATCACAACAGAAGCTGCTTCCTTCCCCTTCAATCATGAGTACGTACGGGCTCGTGGGCTTGGCCAGCCAAGTGGGATAAGAAACAACAAACAAACAACAACATACCAAATTGCAGTTAGTCCAGCATTGAGGAGACATGTTTCCAAAACTTATATTAGCCAAAATTATATTACGCTTAAGAGCTAAGAAATGGGGAGCAAAACCAAACTTTTCTAACTAAACTAATATTTAAACTTTCAAAACTAAACTTTTCTATTAAATTATAACTTTAGTTTCGAATTTATGAATACAAACAAAATATAAAAATTAAGAAATTTAATAAACGTAGGAATCAGATGAAAACCTGTTTTAATTTACCTTGTTAAACATATAAAAAGAATTTGGTTCCGACTTTATTTTTCGTAGAATTTCCAGGAAATTCTAAGCGAAATCAAATATTAGTCTTCGGCTTGTCAAACAGTTGTAGAATATATGATGAGTAATAATACACAATGAGCTGATTCTTTTCATTTTAGGATGTCTGTATTAATGTACTCCTATGTGATCTTGACTTTTTTAGAGCCTAGAAAAATTTTAACAGCTTTCTCATAATAACGTTGGAAATTCAAATTAATCCTGCACTGACATTATTTCGGGAAAAAATGATAGCAAAAGGAATTTATTTTTAATATGAGAGCATCCATTTGATAAGTAAAAGTTTTTTTTATTTTTTAATTTGACATTTTAACATCAGTAAGTAGATTATAAAAATCAGTTTAATTTGCTAATGTTGAAGAACCGTGTGTATTTATGCTGAAGAAATAAACTTTCAGCATTGTTAGGGATATATGAGTATTTTCTTGTGATGAGTAATAAAATTCATTAAATGAGATATTAAAAGAATCTTTAAGAATTCGATAAAATAATCTTAATAATACTAGAAATTATATAAATTTTCTGATATATTGTAATAGTCTTTTAGGCATAAAAAGAAAAAAAAAATCTACTATAAATATAAATAAACTGTATAAGTAAATAATATTGTTCATTATAAACAATAATGTTAAAAATATACGTCTTAAAAATAAAGATTACTATCTAAATGAATACTTTTATTATTTATAAACAAGACTTTCTACTACTTGAACATTATCACAATATTTCAATAAATTACCACCGTACGTAGCCAAACGGTCAGCAATCTTGACAACCTCAAAACTCTCAACTCAAAACAAAAAATATTAAATAAGGTCAGCCGGTTTATGAAAAATAAAAGTTTCAGGAATGGCTTTAAAATACTCAGGAATGGCTTTAAATATTGCTATCTAAATTCATATTTTTTTATTTTCTAAACAAGAACGCACACATTTATTATGTGAACATTATCCCAACCTAGTAATAAATTGAGCAACCAGGCAGCCAAACGGACTGCAATGTTGCCAAATATATAGCCAACTTCAAAACGCTCAAAACAAAAAATATTGAATATTTTCAGCCGGTTTAAGAAAAAAAACCGGCTCCAGGAATGGTTTTAAAATTATATTCTTTTATTTAAAAAAAATATTTGTGTTAAAATTACATAAATTTTCACTTTAAAGAATATAAATTCCTAAAAAAAGTTAAGTTAAGAAAGTTAAGTTCCTAAGTTAAGTTAAGAAAATAACTTAAGAAAGTTAAGATTATTTTTTGAAAACTACCAACCAAATCTGAAACCGTCATGTCACAATGAGAGTTTTGTCCATTTGTCTTGTTGGAAAAATAACTGAAGACTTTTATTCAATCATGAAAACAATCACGAATATTTCCAAAAACTTTCCATCAGTTTCTGAGTTCATTCTTTATACCATTCATATATTCATTTTCTTTGTTCTTGCAAAAACCAAAAAAAAATGCCAGTTCTTTTCAATCTCTTCTCATTTGAAATTAAATCCTGCAAAATGATACAGTAACCTTCTAAAAGGATCAACGGTAAATTCAAAACAATGGGTTGAAGTATAATTTATCAGCAAAATTTTTCTAGTATACAGAATTACTCTTACAGTATAGAATTTAGAATTGATATGAAGCAAAAACATTTATTTTCTATTTATCAACTTTTTTCAAACAAAAATATCATTAAGAATTATTTTCAGGGACAGAAAACTTGAGTAGATATGATTTGGCTTGATTTGCCATATTGAACAGTGCATGAAGTAAAATTTTTTTTAAATATCCCAATCTTAATTCAAAAAATCTACTTTGGATGCAGACACCTTCAACGTTGTTGAATAATTACTTTCAATGACAGCTAATTTACTGACTTCAGCAGGTCATACACCAATTGAATATCTAAAATTTTCTTTAAATACTAATGTAAAACAAGACATAGAATGGACTACACCAAGAGTATGAGAATCAAATGTTTTGAATGATATAGTGGAATTATTCAAGTAAAAATCACAACAGATGATATTTTAATCCTATTTTCTATTCCTCAATATATAGATAGAGAGAACGCAAATAAAAAATATGATTTTGATAATTTAGATACAAAAAGAACTCAGGTTAGTATCAATGAGCCATATTCTAGACATGATTAACCTATAAGTTTTAAAACAGTGAACTAAACTAGTCTAGATTTTATTCTGACATTTTACTAGTAGGTGAAATTACAAGAATTACAGAATGTTAGTTAGTTTAAATGGTATAGCTTATTTTATTTTTGATGTATCTATTCGTCGTCTTTATATAAATAATAAAAATGTAAGCATTGAATTTTCATGGCATTTGAGAAATTCTTCAACAATACCTTCTAAAATATACATTATTTTAATTGAAAAAAGAAAGGTAAATTGAACATGTATAATGTTTATGTTAACGTCATACGTGAGCGTTTATCAACCAGATTGTCATCTTGTGTTTCTGAAATTTTTTATTGTATAAAGGATTTAGTACATGTATGTTATTTTACCAAAGGATAAGTAAATAAACAAAAGAATTGTTGAATCAAATTAATGTTCTGTAATTGTAGCGAAATTCACAGGAAAAATTAGAGCAACGAAAGAAAAAAAAAAGTCAACTTACAATCAACTTATGTATATATATATTTAATTTATATTTTGACATTTGCTAGTAGCACATTATCAAAACGAATCAACTTAATTTTTAATATTAATTTCTAAAATATGTACTCTAACCACAAGAAAAGACACAATCTAAAAAAAAAATTGTAAATTATTTTATCAGCAATATCCTTATAATAGTAAAATTCGCGCCTTACAAGGAACATTAACTATTTACATTTTAATATTCCAACATAACTCATATCTTATTATTTTAAATTATTATAAACAACAATCATATATTTCAAATTATATGAATAAAAAAAAATAATAACATGAATAATAAGGTGAGTGAAATTAAATCATAATTTTGCACCGCATAAGTATTTTATTTTATGTATATTTTAAATGCATATAAAAGTTTCATAAATTTGATTTATTTCTGAATAATATTCAAGCGAATTTTGAGTTCCTTTATTATTTTAAATTTTTAAATTTAACATGAATAAACAATAAGATGCAAAGATTCATTTTTCAGTGTTTAAAAAAACATTTATAAAGTGTTTGAAATTAAAATGAATAAATTTTATGATGCTTTGGATTTTAGATATAGGGATTTAGTTTTTTCATTTTTATTGAATTATTTATACTTGTAAGAAAATTTCAAGAAGGCTATATTTTAATGTCGAATATGAAAAGATAGATATGAGTTAACATTTAAAATAATATAATATATTCCAAAAAATAAGGATAATTTACATAGACAAATAATATTTACGTATATTTTCCACATCTCAAAAAATTGCTTCAATTATTGTTTAAAAGGTTTCTTTTCAGAAACATATAAAATGAAACCTTAGTTAATCTTCATAACACATTTATTTCATCTTCAATTTGAAAGGGATTATATAAAGCTAGAAAGGGAACATTTTTTTTGTGCATGCATCTAGTTATAAGACAGTTGGTAATTTCCATTCTCTCATTTTTCATATGCTTAATGCGTGTGATGATATCGTACCACTCATTTTCATTTCATCCATAAGAATTATGAAAATTTTTATTCATGTAATTCCAGCTCTCTTTGGCATTGTCTACCACTTTTTTAGTGAAAAAGTTTTCTGGGTCTTTTAATTGAAATTCATGGGATGATGACTTAGTATCAATGAAAGAAAAAAGATCCCATCTAATTCATCTGTTCTCTATTTCTTCGCTCGAAATTTTGGTGGATTAAAGGATATAATTTTTATTCAATGGAATTTATTAAAGGATATAATAAGGGAACAATATTTATGGCTTTTGAGAGAAAGAAACGGGGGTTAAAACTATTCCCTGTTTTTCTTTTAGATATCGCTTCTGTTCCTAAAACTTCTTTTAAATTCATTACAGGTATTTTAAAAAGAGCATTTTTTTTTTCGAAATAAATGAGATAAAAACTCGATAATAATAATAAAATGATTTATTTTTCTGAACAATAGATAATCTCGTATAAAAGCCTGTATTTTTGGGAATTGGTAACTATGTCTACTAGAGTTCAAGTCTTAAGTTTTTTTTTTTTTTTAAGAAATAAACTGAATAATATCATTAGCTTAATGGATTAGCTATATATATTATTAAATTTTTTCTTTCTTAATATTAACTATTAACTTTTACATAACAATGCTTCTGAACAAAAAATGAATTAAAGCATTAAGCTTAATATAAATGATCCAGTTTCAAATAAAGCACAAGTGTGTGAATGCATATTTCATTTAAAAATGAATGGTAATCGAAGCAATTGTGGCAACTGAG